ATCGAACTGGAGCGACTCGGGCTATGATCTGGGCCGGCGAGTCGCAAGTCGGAGATCGAACTGGAGCAACTCAGGCTATGGTCCGAGCCGGCGAGTCGCAAGTCGGAGATCGAACTGGAGCGACTTGGGCTATGAGCCGAGCCGGCGAGTCGTAAGTTGGAGATCGAACTGGAGCGACTCGGGCTATGATCTGGGCCGAGGGATGCAACTCAGGCGGGCTGCGGCCGAGGGATGCAACTCAGGTGGGCAAGGCGCCCTGAGGTTTGCTCGGCAATCTATGGCCGCGGAGCTCGGCGCAGGCGGGCTGCGGCCGAGGGATGCAACTCAGGTGGGCAAGCCGCCCTGAGGTTTGCTCGGCAGACTGTGGCCGAGGAGCTCGGACTTGACGGGCGAGGTTCTGAAAGGCCTCGGGTGACACGGGCGTTGAGTCGGCTAGGGCGCCGTCGGGCGGCGACAAGCCCGGGTCGTTGAATATTCGCCAATATCGTTCGGAGGTCGTGGCGGGGTGTTCGTCACGATGGTCTCCGTGCGGGGATGTTCCCCCGAGGCTTCGGTCGGGTGTGACCTCTCAGTCGTGGGCTCATCCAAGACGCTCGGGTGATCACCCGACATTCCGAGCCCTCCTTCTAGCGCCAATCTGTTAGTATAAACAACTTTGAGCCGTGGCCTCGGGGCCGACGCGACTCGGCTCGGGTCCGGACGACGGGGATCTCCCTGGGGCGTTCCTCGAGCCTGCTGAGGAGGTCGGGGCGACGTCCACTCGGGACGGTGTGGCCGTCTCCTCCGGGCAGGGACTCCTCGCCTGCGGGACCGACGGGGACCTTCGCCTTCGCACCTGTACAAAGGTTGGGCCGGGGAGGGTCGGCCCGACCCCTCCGACGATCACGTTAGAAGATGTGGAGGGGGTTTCATGAGAAGAAGTGTTTTTGGTTTGTCCCTCCTCTTTTCTGCTCGTTCAGAGTGCGAGGGTATTTATAGGGAGGCTTACTGTTTCCTAATGTGCCTGCTTGCAGGGGGCAGGTTGGTTGCGTCTGACATTGGTTTGGCGTGACGTGAGGAACCGAGCCCGAGTAGGTGTTAATGTGCCTCGGTTGGTGTTCCGGTCAGTTTGACTGAGTGCTGTTGGGTCTGATCGAGGCGTCATCCAGGGTAGCCGATGTTAATCAGGTCGTGTCGCCTTTATTGTCCCTATCAGTGGGTGTCCTTCCGGTTGACCTGGCTACCGCGGGATGACACGTCACTAACTGTAACGCTGTCGGTCCCGGGATATCCCTCATCATATGTAACCCCGAACTCAATGCTAGTGACCAACTAAAAAAGATAGAATATTTGCAATCAGTTAACATTGCAACCTCTAGTGATCCACTATCTAGGAAGAAAATAGACATGGTCGATTTAAAGTAAACTTGGAGCAAAAGATAACGAAGAATGGAAAGAACAATGAAGAAAGCAAAAGATGAAGACATGGTCTAAGCAGTCTAAAAGAAAAATGCATTGCTTGAACAGGACATGGTCCAAAGAATGGTCATTAACTTTATGCTCCTACAGAGAAGATACCTGTCATTTCAAAAAGGTTTGAATTAAACAAAACAAGCACCACATGCATTCAGAGATACGGCATGAAAATCTTGATAATTACATCCCAGGAAATAGTTTGTGCCCAGCCAATTAGAACTAAAAGAAAATGATGACCGAGACAAAACTTTGCTCCAAATATTTGTGAAGGATTCAAGCTAAAGAAGTGACGGTCAAATACTCCAATCTCCCAAGTCTTTTGCAAACCCACCATCTTGCATATCATCACAATAGAAAAAGAAGCAGACATTTGCTAAGGAACTGAAGACATGGCACCCGAGATGAGAAAGAAAGCAATTCCAAATAGGTTCTAGAGAGGGTTCGAAGACCAGTGACAACCATATAATTTGACCTTGAAGGGCATTCCAATCCCCCCTCCGGCAAATCATCACAAAAGAAAAAAGAAGCACCCTTACAGAAAGAACTGAAGCCTTAAGGAACCAAAGAAGATAAAGAAAACAATTCGCTTGTAGGGTTCTCAAGAGGGTTGGCTAGCCAACAATGTCCCCAAATAATCCAATCTTGCGAGGGTTTGCCAAACCCACCCATCTTGCAAATCATCACAAAAGAAAAAGAATCGCTGCTACAGAACGAACTGAAGATTAAAGCACCAAAGAGAAAGAAAACAAATCACTTGTAGGGTTCTCGAGAGGTTTGGTTAGCCAACAGCGGCCATATAATCCAAGAACAAGGAGGGTATTCCAAACCCGCCCATCTTGCAAATCGTCACAAAAGAACAAGAAGCGTTCTTACAGAACGAACCGAAGATCAAAGGCACCAAAGAGAAAGAAAACAATCGCTTGTAGGGTTCTCGAGAGGTCTGGTTAGTCAACAGCGGCCAAATAATCCAATCTCGGAGGCCATTCCAAACCCACCCATCTTGCAAATCATCACAAAAAGAACACGAAGGTTCTCACAGAACGAACCGAAGATTAAAGCACCAAAGAGAAAGAAAATAATCCAACCTTGGAGGGGTTTTCCGACCCCATCGATATCGCAAATCATCACGAAGGAAAAAGAAGCACGAGCTGAAGGCAAAGACACCAAAGAAAAAGAAAACAATCGAGAAGGTTTGCTAACCAATGACGGCCAAATAATCCGATCTCGGGAGGGTTTTCCCCACCCGCCCATCTTGTAAATCATCACAAAAGAACAAGAAGCGTTCTTACAAAAGGAACTGAAGCGCACCGAAGGATCGCTTCCAGGGTTCTCGAGAGGGTTGGCTGACCAGTGACGGCCAAATAACCGTTTCTTGGAGGGTTTTCCCCACCCGCCCATCTTGCAAATCATCACAAAAGGACAAGAAGCGATCTTACAGACGACTGAAGCACCGAAGAAAATAAACCAAACGATCGCTTGCAGGGTTGGCTGACCAACGACGGCAAAATTCGCCGATCTTGGAGGGTTTTCCAACCCCGCCCATCTTGCAAATAACGCAAAAGAAAAAGAAGCAGAAATTACAGCAGAAGCGAGAGAGAGAGAGAGAGAGAGAGAGGGCGATAACTTGTACAGTTCTCAGGAGGGTTGGCTACCTTCCTTCTTCTCAAGCTCGACGTCGCCATTTCTTGGCCGCGTTTCTCGTTCGAAAGCTCCCGTCACTCTCCCGCAGCCATCTTCGCCGTGTAATAACGAATACGAGAGTGCTCTGATCCTGGCCGTTGAAATCTGATTGATGAGGACAACTAGCCATATTATTTATAATCCGGTTTTTTTATATATAAATTATCTCACCTTTTATTATCCGCATGAATAAAAGATCAATAAAAAATATTATAATTATCATTAATATTTGATAATATATTTTATCATTTTACGATGAGATTAAATAACTTATATTGAATATAATAAAAGATGATCATCTTTTAACCACTTATATTTATATTCATCTATTTTATGTTACTTGACATTAGAAAGATCAAGCCAAAAAACTTCTTTAAGCTTGGTCCGGTATAAATGACGTCTCAGTTAGATATTTTCATCTCGAAGACATCTTGAATAATCTTATATATGTAGATTTGATAATAATAGAAATGTCTGTCTATCAATATTTTCACACCAGATAATGCAAGAATTACATACGATTTCTCCTTAAACTTAAAAAACAAGATTAGTTTGCACAATACAATCTTTTTTTCTTTGTTGTTTCTGTCGAACATTACAATTTGCAAGACCAGTCAAACCTCTGTCTCTTATAAAACATTCATTGCCAACTTGATGACAAGACACCTCGTCGACCCAAACACAGTACACAACCACCGGTCAAGTAGGTGGACGATTGACAGCTACAAACTCCCATCACCATTGTTGACAAGCGTTGACCTGCCGATGACCTTTTCTTTTTTGTATGTTTTTTGTATGAACGGTCAAGATCTTTGGTGTTATGATATTATTATAATTTCTTTTAAAAATAAATATCGAAAACATGATTTGATTGAAGGATTTTATTATGATAAGATATTAAATATATAGTACAGTCGAGTTAACCCATTTAAAAATAGAAAAAAATCATACACTTTCACTTTATGATCCAATAACAACACGTCATATTGTATGGATGTGTTTGAGAACATATTTAAAATATATATTGAATGTTCAATTCATATTTTAAATATAAAATAATATTTTATTTTATTTTAAATCATATTTGATTTGGATGTCATATATAAATTTTTTATAAGATTACCTACAATCATTTAATTATTTTATTTACTTAATTATTTAATATATATATATATATATATATATATATATATATATACTTTTGAATAAAGAGTTAATGGACGTTTGAGATACAATTCTATCAAACAATATTTATATTAATGAATATTTAAAATATAATTTTATTTATCAAACATTCAAAACAATTTATAATTACACATTCACTTAGATCCTTTTTTAATTATATATTAAAACATAAATATGTTCTTATATATATTTAAAAGTGATGATGATAGTAATTATGATAAGACTCGGTTGACGTCAGATGACGCCTCACATCTCGATCGACGCGACAGCACCTGGTCAATGCAGATCGGAACGCCGACCAAGGCACATTAACACCATGCTCAAGCTCAATTCTTCATGCCACGCCAACACAAGTGTCAGACGCTACCAGCCTGCCTCTTGCAAGCGGGCAGCTCAAGAAGTCGTAAGCTTCCCTATAAATACCCTCTCGTTCATCAAGAGAGGGGGAGGAGATACATACTAAAAGACTTCTTCATCTGAAACCCTTTCACATCTTTTGACTTGATCGTCGGAGGGGTCGGGTCGAGCTTCCCGACCCGACCTTGTGCAGGTACGGAGCCGAAGGTCCCCGTAGGACGCGCAGGCAAGGAGCTCTTGCCCGGAGGAAACGACCACCCGTCCCGATCGGACCATCACACCCGATCACCTCGGCGAGCTCGAGGAACGCCCTAGGGAGATCCCCATCATCCGAACCCGAACCGAGCCGCGTCGGTCCCGAGACTGCTCAAGGTTGTTTCGACGACAAAAAGGATAAATATAAAAATCTTGGCGTTGAAAATTCGTGATCCAAGCGCCGTTAGAAGAGACTTGCGGCTATCTAAATCGTGACTCTTGTCGATGCACTATTCGCTGATTTGTCGTCACGTCACCGCAGACCGTAATCGAACAGTGCAAGCGGATCGGCCCATCATCGGCGTCGTAAGTGGTGACGTACGACTCGAGTCATGATCTGGCAAACGAGAAGCGGAGCCGCATGTGCGCGACGCGATCCTGAGGGCCACGTGAGTACTCGACTCATGATCTGGCAGGCGAGAAGCGGGAGCGGCATGCACACATCTAAAAGCAATGCCGCGATGCCGCAGGCGGGACCCACGTGGACGACCAGATGAGAAGAGTCCCCTCCTCCCTGGCTGGTGACTCGGTCCCGATGACGGGATTGGACAATACCGTAATCGAGGGCTTCTACGTCCCTCAACCGTACGACTCGTCGTACTAAGCTCGTGTACTTATACCTCTACAAACCAACCACTTAGATATCTCGAGAGATCGCTTGTAGTGATTGAACGAAGCCTGAATTATGTGCATGGTCGTAATGCAAGCGCTCGTGCGCATGAATTCTTAGTTTCCTATACATAAAGGGGACTAAATTTCAAGGATTTAGACCGTGGAAGATATATTCCACACGACTAGTAATTAACTAATGCTCTCTTAGAACGATGCAAATGGCAATGGATTTCACGTGATCAAACCTCGGCCAGCATTGGCGAGTCATATTAGTTACGAGGAAAAATAGAAAGGAAGCTTCGCTTAGCGGTGTCCAGTCGCGACTAAAGTCGGGGCACGGAGAATGTTTCCACCCAGGGTTGGTAGTATCCGTTGAACAGTACGCGTTTGATCCGATCATTGACTATTTCCCGGACGCATACAACGTGATTCGTCTTGCCCAGCCAATCCGATGTTGACTGTAGACGCGCCACCTATGCATCCTGGTCAAGTCAAACGCCATGCGGATAGTGGTGACGCTCTCGTTTAATCCCTTACCCAATGGCGAGGGTCCGTTCCACACGGATAGAGCCCGGTTTTGGAGACCAATTCGGAGAGACTCGAACCGGACGGTTCAGATGGAGTCAAACGTCCGACTCGGTCAACCGACTTGGAGGCCTTCCATGGAGAGAAGTCAAATATAAGCTCCCATTTCTTCTCTCTCTCGCTCGCTTCGCATCAACCCTTCTCGCCTGACGGCAGCAGTTACCTCCCTTGCGCGCCGCCTCGCTCCGCCCCCTGGCCAGGCGACTCCGGTAGCCGCACGCTGTGTTTGTCTGTGGGCAATTGAGCCGGCGTTGCTTGCTTGCTTGCTCGATCTGTCTCCTCTTGTCGACAGTGTTAAGGAGGAGCGGGTGGGACGATTGCTTACCGACGGGCAACCCTGATTTGTGCAGTTCCGCCGGTGATAGATCAATCGGGTGTCTTTGACTTTGGAGGTGACTGCCGCTCCTGGGTTTCTTATTTCGGATTAAAGACTCTGTTTTTCTCTTGTTCGCTACAAATAAAAATTGGTTTTCCGGAGCACAACTGCTTGTTATGACGAATGAATTCTGGTTATGTTTGGAATTAGATCTTTTTTTTTTTTACAGTACTTTTGGTGTCAGAAACCATTGGATTTGGATTGATTGTTATGACCATAACTGGGTTTTGTTCTTCGCGAAATGTATGCATCTAATCAATATAGTTGCCAATAAAAGGTGATGCTTGATGTTTCCGTCAGATGGCTGGTTAATAATGGTGATAATATGTGGCTTCTCGGACCTTTTAGATGCTGGTCATCAAGTTTTGTCTCATTTCTGTAGTTTTGCGTTTTTCCTTTCTTGCCTTTCAAGAAATCCTGGTAATGGTTTTAGTGATTCAGTTTATTAGTTTAGGTTGATTATTGTCCATTGTAGCTTTAGCCTCCTTTGGCTATGGGGAATTGGGTCAAACAGACAAGAAAAGGAAGAAGGTGAAGTCTCTGGTTTGGCCATCATACTGAAGAGGGCAACTGGAGATATCTGCTTTTTCTCACCTCTTCTTACTCTCTCTAAATTGTTTCCAAATTGGAGAGAAGATAATTCATCTTCAATTCTATTCATTCTTATGCAAACTTTCCTGTCTTTCAGCAAGTACACTCAATCTAATCTTTTTAATAGCCCTGAGTCGTATCATCATGTGCGCTAAAGGGTAATAATTAGATTAACAGAAAAGGAGGTGGGTACAAATGCTTAAAGCCAAAAACAGTGATAACTAACTAACATGGTTTGAGCCTTTCCAATAAAGATTTAGCAAAGGCCTGCAAAGCTAAGGGATCTAAATTGCTTGTGCTAGAGGGAATCAGTGCATTCTATGTTTCGAGAACAATTGCAGAAGATTTATGAAGGTTTCTTGATGAAGCCTGTTGGTATTGAAATTTCAGTCATCATTAACTCGAGGTTACGAGCGTCTTGTCTGTCGCAACGGTAGAATCATAGACATGACTAATTATAGCTTCAGAGTGAAAATTTGTTTCTGTGGGAGCTTTTCCAACTGAAATTTCAGTGATTGCTGGTCTTTATTCTGATGCAATCCAGAAGTCGAATTCTTCTTGAGCATATACTTTCAACATGTTTGATTGGTTGAAATGATATCTTTCATGTGGCGATAGTTAATTGGTCTAGTGACTTGAGAAAGATAAGGTGCATTTTCTTTAGGTGGCCAAAGAAGGTTACTTCGGTTATACTGAGACTGGAATTCTAGTAATTGCACAATGAAACTTAACATGAATTCCAAAAAGTGAAACAACATTTTCCATTTGAAGTTTATGTTTGAACCTCCAGTGCGCTAATGAGTAATGACTATGCAAAAACCAGAAGTTGGTCACTTGTTTAGGGTCTCCTCACCAGTCTTTTACAAACAAAGAGTTATTTTGTCACACATATACATGATACATCCACAATTCCTTGAAAAACCCTTATTTTGCTACTTCATCATTTCATCTCAGCCAC